ATATATAAATTGCAAGAAACATTTAAATAAAATTTAATATGACATAGAAATTAATAAATAAAAAAATTACAAATAATTTACCTCACTGCTAAGGTTTTGCCCGCTTCTATGGTTGTTCATCGCTTTTGTCAAGGCATCTCTCCACTTTCCCAACTTTTTATTAAGAATTTTTCACCTACTAGATAATGCTTGATTCGTACGGGTCGAACCAATTACCCTTTCACAAAATTCCTGATGAATTTTTTTCCACATATGACAGAATTTGATCTCATTGCCCGTTACGGGACAATGACTAACTTGGAGCCAAGCCTCACACAAGCTAATATCTTCCGTCATGCTCCATGCCCCTCCTCCAGTTTCACTAGAAGAACCCATAATATGATAGAGAAAAAAATAACTTGAAAGAGAGAAAAAAAAAAAAACAACTTGAAAGTGAAAAAAATTTGACTAGAAAGTGAAAAATAGTAGAATGAGAAGAAAATGTATGAAGAGTTGGTGTTAAAAGTGAAGAGTATTGGTTGGTATTTATAGAAAAAAAAAATTCGGTATTTTTTTTCGTATTTTTTAAAATTTTTTCCCTTTGTTTTTTGGGCAAAAAATTGCCTGCCGTTGGATTGCTGGAAAAAACTAATCGGAGAGCCCAGGAGCTTCCACGTGGCATAGAGCCGTTGGGGGTTACTTTTTCGATTTTTTTATTCACGAAAAAATGGCTGCCGTTGGATAAATTTAAAAAGCAGATCGGATGGCCCAGCATACGACATGTGGAATCATGCCATTGGGCGGCTACTGTAGCGCGAGTCAAATTTTTTTAAACCGGGCGTGTGTATTGCACGCGCCAGCTTTAAAGAAATTTAAACAGCAGCGCTGACGTCATCACAGCCCGCGGGCTGGAGCTCGGGCCAGCCTCCCCCTCGGGCTTGCCCAGGTTTGTGGGCCCTACTGCTTGCCCTGGCAGCTTCTTGTTGTTGGAACCACATTTTGGGTTTCCCCCCCCCCCCCAACCCTCCCCTTGGGCCCTTTGCTGCCAATGCTCTTAAGGGGGTGGATTTGGGGGCCTTACACGATTTTATTATAAACGGTATCCCAATTTTGCAAGCACGTGATTATTTTTCTTCAGGTTAATTGGCTTTTCGGGGTGGGCTTCAAACGTTTGACATTAATTTACTTCTGCCTAATTGCAAATTTGCTAGTTTCAATTTTCTGGATACAAATATTTGATTATGCAAAATTAGCTCCTCAGTGAAGTTTATAAGACATAAATGTCCATTCTCGCTTTCAAATTTTTTAAAAGTAGTTACTCTGAACCCTTCCTTAAAATTTTAACTAAAATTGAAAGAAACGGTTTCCAACACTAAACATTACTCGAAAGACGTTCAATCATTCTCAACCAGAGTTCAAGCAAGCATTATTCAAAGGGTAGTTTTCATATTTTCTTTTGTTAGAGTAATTAACAGAGATCTTGTAGGACAATCTTGATACTATAATGTACATCATGTGTGTCTTCAATGGTAATGAGAAGAAAAACGCAAAATTCCTCATATATAAGAGATGTTAACTGCTTTAAACCTAGTTTGATTTGCTACCTATTAAAAACAAATTTAATTTTAAAACTAATATAAGACAAACTATTGTTCGGATACAAAAATGGGATAAGAGTCAAAATTCATGTACCAAAAATGAAAAAATAAAACAACCCTACCACCATTTTTTTTGGCAGCACCACTTTCTAACCCATGACTATGTTATTTTTAACAAACAAGTAAGGTATTGACACCCTTTATCTTTCAATGAGAGTCTCCTTGATCACCGCCTTCAAGTAGTGCATGCCGACTATATTATCCTCTGTAATTAGGTCTGTTTCGTTTTTGACGATTCCTCATACCTCGCTCTGCAACTTACTCATGACCTTGGATGCCTCAAAAGCTCAGTCATTGCCCACTCTAGCAGCGTAGACAAGCTATCGGTGCCAGCTACAAACACGTCCTACAAAAGTGATATTTATAGTCAAAATTAACTTTCTAACCGGTTAGCGCTCTTAAGCATTGTGTGTATATATAATGTGCTATATATGCCACAAACATAGAGACTTAACAATATGAGAGCCTTTATAGTAACTCTATCAATAGGAAAGTTACCAGCCTTTGTGAAACGAAAGTTAAATGTCTGCCACGTAGCCAATTAACGTACATTTTGACCGTGACATTAACATCAAAACCATATTGCAAAAAATAAAAAAGATTAGGGTACATGAGTGTTAAAATTAAGATTGAATGGACAAACATTCCTTAAGAGTGAGAATTCAGGTACTAAATTGAAATTAACCATAATTATTAATGACTATTTTGACTCTACTTAGAGAGAAATAAACATTGGGGCAAATCTGGCTTATCTTAATTGGACTTTTAGCCCACAATTCAAAGAAGAACAAGACTGGTGAGGCCCAACTTTGACGTCTTTTCCTCGTTGGACTATAATTTCTTTTCGTGGGTATATATTTCGCTGTAAAATAAAGCTAACTCAACCACGGTTAAATCCCAACCCAAATTCTGACCATAGTAAAAGAAAAGCTTTTTTTTTTTTTTGGACGATAGTATAAGGAAAGCATTGATTAGCTGGATAACAATGATCGGTCAAACACACGGACAGGAACGCGACACGTGTGCGGTTAGATGTCGGCTGAATCGTCTTACGCATCGTTGTTAGGTTAAAATTAGGGTTCGCATTGGCCGATCTCTCACACAACACAACCTTTCTTCCCCTATTTTTCATCTCTCCGATCCCTTTTTTCCTTCCCGTTCTCGTCAAAAAAATTTTACTTTCTTTCTAGCAATCTTCGATTTCTCGATCTGCGGCCATGGAGACTGAGCGCGTGACGGAGTTTCCTTTCACTCACTTGGATCGTCGCCCTCGAAAGAGAGCGCGATTGGGCTGGGATGTTCCTCAGGCCGCAAAGGTATTATCTTTGTCCCGAAAATTTTATGCCTGATTCAATTTTGTGGTGGTTTTTGTTTGGCACTGTTCAGGGATCGCTCGATTTTTGTGGTTGATGCTATTACAGTCGGTGATTAAACATTATCTTTATTTTATGCATCCAGATCTGAAATTAAAGTTTCTAAATTTATTGGAAGATTTTTAGAATCTCAGCCTTTCAGATCGCAGCATGGATATGTTTATTGAATATACATGAAAAAAAACTTTGAATGATTGATCAGAACGTTAAGGTTGTTATCTGGTATTGCCAAGAAAACTATCAAGTTCCCAGTAGCCCTTTTGTTCTATCTCGTTTGAATGATTAATTTACATACAACTAGCTCGGTTTATTCATTAATTTAATGCTGTAATATTTGAACTTTTTATTTGAAAGTTTCCCGAGAAGGATGTTTATAGTTGTAATATTTTTGTTTGTAATGTTTGGTGATACCTTTGTTGTTGATGTTTAGGTTTACCTCTCTAATGTGTGCTTTAATGCATCTCTGTGTGTAGAATTTGCTCTTTCTTGTTTCTGGTAATTTGTTAGGTTTTGGTTATGATTTATGAGATTCTGACGTAACCCAAGGGGTATGGCTGGGGGTACGGTATTGGGGATGGCAGAATTTGACTTAATTTGTTGGGTGGTGCTTGAATGGATGGCTGTGTGTAGGCTCAGGTAGGAATGTTTTGTGGACAAGAGCTTGGGAATGTGACAAGCTTTGCATCTTTGATGGCACCATCAGACCACACTACTATTTCTCTTTTTGATAAGGAAGTGGCTCGAAATGGTTCCCCCCCTTGGAGAGAGGATGACAAAGATGGGCATTACATGTTTTCGCTCGGAGAAAATTTAACATCTCGCTGTAATTACACAATCAACACATAATTTTCTTTCTTTTTATGTTCCGGTGCAATTTTTTCTGGTTTATTTGATCTTTTAACTTCTGATGTTTCAATTGATTTCCAGTGTGTGCAAGTTTTTCACTAAACTCTAGGGATTTTTTTTTGTTAACATTACAACCTAGTTGTGGGCTTTAATTATTGGTCTCACTTCATGCAGACAAAATCCAGAGCAAAATGGGTGAAGGTACCTTCGGTCAGGTTTTGGAATGTTGGGACAGAGAAAAAAAGGAAATGGTTGCTGTAAAAATTGTTCGGGGGGTCAAAAAATACCGTGAAGCAGCAATGATCGAAATTGAAGTGCTGCAACAGCTTGGTAAACATGACAAAGGTGGCAACCGGTGAGTAGTTGTTCCTAATTTTTCAAAATTTTTACTTCAATGGAGTGCTTGAAGAAGTTTTTTCCTGAACTTTTAGCAATGTTAAATGGGTTCATTCCTTGCAGTTGTGTGCAATTACGGAACTGGTTTGACTATCGTAACCATATTTGTATTGTAAGTATGAGATTAATTTGTGATGGATTGATTTCCCCAATTCACAAATAACTCGGGGGTTAAAACTTGTGCGTGAATTTAAATGGTTTCAACAGGTGTTTGAGAAGCTTGGACCAAGCTTATACGATTTTCTCAAGAAAAACAATTACCGCTCATTTCCCATTGACCTTGTCCGTGAGATTGGCCGACAACTGTTGGAATGTGTAGCATGTGTGTAGTAAAACCTAAGCTAGTCTCTTTCAATCACTATATATTGCTTGTCTGCTTTTCTTTTGCCAGTTTACTGCAATGAAATTACCTCCTATATTGTTTAGAGTAATAAATCTCTTTTGTTCTGTCTTATTTCATTAAAAAAACTCACAATGGGTGCTGATATATTTTCTAATTTTTTCTTGTAAATGGTCATAATTATAAGTTAATTGGTTTTGTTTTTCTTTGTGGTCCTGCTTTCTGATGATATTCCCATTTCTACGCAGTCATGCATGACCTTCGCCTGATTCATACTGACTTGAAGCCAGAGAATATACTCCTTGTTTCTCACGATTATATTAAAGTTCCTGATTATAATAAGGTGCTTACCCATTTCCCTTATTACCTTCTTTTCCTGTTGTTTGATTGTATCATATGGTTAGATCTTTCCCCTTTTTTTCTCTGACGTTCTATCAATTTGCTAACTGCAGAACTCATCTCGATCACCCAAAGATAGCTCATATTTTAAAAGAATTCCAAAGTCAAGTGCTATTAAGGTTATTGATTTTGGAAGCACAACTTATGAACGTCAAGATCAAAATTATATTGTATCAACACGACATTACCGGGCTCCCGAGGTTATTCTTGGTAAGTGTGAATTCTATTTGTAATGATGTCTTTGTGCTGTATACCTGTAAGTAGTCTTAATATTTATGATAATGGTGCAGGAATGGGATGGACCTACCCTTGTGATGTATGGAGCATTGGTTGTATCTTAGTGGAGTTGTGCACGGTTTGTCTGCTGACTATATGCTTTTGATTATCAGTATGTTTTTTTAAGTAATACAAGCCATACTTATGCCGCTTGTTCTTATTGCAACAGGGTGAGGCCTTGTTCCAGACTCATGAAAATTTGGAGCACCTTGCCATGATGGAGCGGGTACTTGGGCCCTTGCCCCAGCACATGTTGAAGAGAGCAGAGTAAGTGATATCATTCTATCCTTCTTTGTAATTTCTGTTTGGAAGCATGAAGTTGATAAATGTTCTTACTTAATCTTGCTTGTGGAAATTTACAGCCGACATGCTGAGAAGTATGTCAGGAGGGGTAGATTGGATTGGCCAGAGGGTGCAGCCTCGCGAGAGAGTATCAGAGCTGTTCAGAAACTTCCTCGTCTTCAGGTTTGTGTTACATACTTGGTGGACTTTTAGAGCCATTTAATTTCATTTTTGTACTTTAATGTTTAACTTGTTGCTCTTTTATATTTGTCCAGAATCTTGTAATGCAGCATGTAGACCATTCCGCAGGGGACCTCATTCACCTCTTGCAGGGTCTCCTTAGGTACGACCCATCAGATAGGCTTTCAGCTCGGGAAGCCCTCAGACATTCATTTTTCACGAAGGACAATCTTAGAAGATGAGTTTATTATTGTGTTTGTGCCTGCTGCTGAGTGAAGTGTATGATGTGGTTGGCCTGAAATCCTGAGAGGTGTTAATAACATCCCCTTCGTGTAGATATATCCGAATGTACTGATGATTATTTGTTAACCGTGAGCGGCCCACCCGTTGTGCTCTCCCAGCCACCTGCCTATGATTAATGTACAGAACTGAGAGTTTGAAATAATGAACAAATGTCTTCTCACATTACTTTCCGGCCACCTTGTTCTTTGTTAAATTTTACCTGAATGAATCAAACAGCTGTGTGTGTAATAATTCTGCAAGCTCTGCTATATTTACACATGGTTCTTCCATGTAAAACTCATACCAAATTATTTTGAAAGTATCAGGCAGGCCATTATACCAATCAATTGGGTCTCTAGTTAGGTGTGGCTACTATTGGTACTGTCTTTTATATTTTTGTGGTCAAATTTGTACTCGTTTATCTCTCCTTTCATTTCCCATATCCATTTTATCTTGAGATCTTCTGGAGAACTACAATTCAATGCTTTTTCACATAGCCAAATAGAGACAAAAATCTGATTTTCCATGCACGAGGACAGGCTGAGAAGGGAAATCTCATTTCTATCATCATTACCGGTATGAATGCAACACTAAGTTGCCTAAATTTGCAGAGAAAAGGGAAGACTTAACACTCTTGATGGCGTACCACCATGTTATTTATGTTGCTGCAGGCATTGCAGATACAACTTGCTCAACAGAAAACAAAAAAGAACTTGATTTAGAGCATAAATAAAATAAAGAGGCCATGAAAACTCTGGATGATGATGGAGGGATTAAGGGGAGTATGGTGTTGGAATAAGATACAGAGGAGTTTTCTTATGGACTGTGAGACCGTAAACTTCAGACATGTCCAAGGTCTCAGCCAATTTACTGCCACCACTAGGCAACTTCCAATCGAACCAAAACAGGATGTTGGCGAGCACATATTCAGCAGAAGCAACCCCAAAGGCGAGTCCAGGACACACCCTTCTCCCAGCACCAAATGGGATGAGCTCAAACTCCTGACCTACGAAACCAACGGAGTTCTCCTCGAACCTCTCTGGCATAAACTCATCTGGCTTGTCCCATACTTTGGGGTCTCTTTGTACAGCGTATGCATTCACAAACACTTGTGTTTTCGCAGGTATATCGTAACCTCCCAATTTTACATCCGACATTGCTTCCCGAGGAAGTAAAAGAGGCGCTGGAGGGTGAAGTCTTAAATTTTCTTTGATCACACATGTCATGTATTTCATTTCCTTGATGTCACTCTCCTCTACATATCCCCTTCTCCCCGCCACTCTTCTTACCTCTTCTTGGACTTTCTTCATCACTCGTGGATTTTGCAAAAGTTCTGACATTAACCATATGGCTGCTGTCCAACTAGTATCACTTCCACCCACAAACATGTCCTAAAATCATAAAATAAACAAGCCAAATCAATCTTCAGCCGTATATATATTTATCAATGTGATTAAAGCTAGGGAGGGGGGAATATACATACCTGCAGAATTGCTTTGACATTGGAGGTAGTGAGCTCAAAGTCGAGCGAGCCATCCTTTTGAACGTCGAGTAGAATATCCACAATATCCTTCTTACGAGGCTTACCTTCTTTCTGTGCTGCCTTATGTTCGTCAATCAACTTATCAAAAAATTTATCAAATTCTAACCAAATTGATTTCAAATATGCAAGGTAGCCTCTGGCACGGTCAATCCATTTCAAAGAAGGGAAGAAATCTCCAAAGCTGAAACTCATCACCTGAGTCATCAACTCCTTTGTGGTCTCTCCAAACCAATTGTCTTCTTTGTCCTCAAACTTCTGTCCAAGAATGCACCTGCAGATAATGTTGTTGGAGGTTGACACCAGCATCTCCCCAAGATTAATGGGAGCCCCGTTCGCACTGGCGGAGGCTATGCGAATCTTGCTGACCAACTCTGCAACTTCCTCCATCCTTGCGTACTGAAACTGGTGCACTCTTTTGAGACTCAGAAGCTCAAGAACACAAATTCTTCGAACTTGTCTCCAGTACTCCCCATAAGGAGCAAACGCAATGTCATGGCCGTCGTAGAACAATATACTTGGAGCCGTGGTTTGAGGCCGGCTGCAGAACACAATGTCTTGGGTCTTCATCACGTCCTTGGCCATCTCTGCAGATGAAACAATCAGCGTTGGAACTTTTCCTAAGTGCAGAAGCATAACATCGCCATACTTCTTTGAGAGAGCTTGAAGAGAGCGGTGTGGGAATGATCCTAGCTGGTGAAGGTTCCCAATCCAAGGCAGCCTTGGTGGGGACGGTGGCAGTTTGAGTTTCTGGTTTTTCCCACTTGATGAGGATGATCTTGTAAGTGCAAACAATATGAATATTGAAAGAAAGAGAAGAGGAAGCAGGAAAAGATTGCTCTGTAGGTGCTGCCACATTTGATTGAAAAGTGAAAGTACAGCCATTGCTTTAATTTTGGGTTGCCAGTTGAAATCTGACGGCCTTCTTCTTCTTATTTGTAGAGAAGTTGTCCAGCTTGGGAGCCCACAATTATTGAAACTTTCAATTACGCCTGCGCCAGACGTTGGTTGTAATTGTCAAACAGATATAATTTTTTATCAGAGCAGGGGACCAGAAGTGATTTCAATGTCGACATAAAAATTTGGCATATTTGTTCAAAATCTTGGTCCAAGATTTTCAAATCAACAAACTCAATTGCTAATTTTCAACCGCTCGAATTATTTGTGAACATTCTTGAAATGAAATCCTGTTGCACGAAGGGCTGGCTTTAACTTCAACTATTGCTATATTTCTTGATCCGACAAACAACTTTTATGTCAAACGGCTTCTTTTTTTGGCAATTTAAGGATACGTCTAAATTTCCATGTAATTTCTTAACGGAATAAACACGTGTCTCTTAGGTGGAGGGTATTTTGGATGGAATATGGATGTGTCCTTGAATTACAATAGAATCAAACTACATGGGTTAAATTGACAAAATTAAAACTACAAGGAATAAAGTCGAAAAACTGGTAAACTACATGGGGACCAAAAGTGACATGATGACTTGTTTCGGTTATGCTACAGTTATCACACTCGTTGAGACAATAATTATTGTCTGTGGAGTGACACATTTGATGAGTTGTGTGTTTAGTTTCTGTTGGCTTTAATTCCAACTGTGATGTTAGTAATGTCGCTTAGGAGGATTATAATACTGGAATTCTATTTTCATAGGAATTAAATCAGAGATTAGTCTTTTCTCAACTTGTCTTCCTTTCCTTTCCTGCATGGAATTAAATCAGACTTTTGTTTCTCTTATTTTGGTAAGCATGAAAAGGTTAGATTCGTCTTCACGTATTCACTTGTGACAACCGTCCTCGGCTCCATCCAAATCCGACCACATCAGAATTCGAGCCGGCACAACCTCGTGGACCAGATGTAGCCGTAGCATATCAAGGGAAGATAAAGGTTAGAATTAAAGCCAACACAACAGAGAGATGTTGCCATAGCATGAAGGGAAGAATGGGGCAGAGAGAGAGAGCCATGCATGCCATGCATTCTTTTGAAGTTGCAGAAGAATTATTTTTACCAAGATGTCGTCTTCCACAATTATTGAAGCGTGCAATTAAGCCTGCGCCAGAGATTTGGTTGTAATAGGGAAACTGCTACAAATTGACAATAAGTATCGGATCCACCAGGATGTCTTCTTCCACCAACCTAATTAATAATACACAACTATACGACATGGCAAAACTTTTTGGTCCACTGGATGCGTTGGGAAAGATTCTGACATTGCCCCCTTTTGATGGTCCAAGATTTTCCCATTTTGGATGAAAGATTTTCAACCCATTTTAGATAACAAAGACATGCTGGTTTTCAACCCTGCAAATTTATTTGTGAACGTGGTTGAAATGAAATCAATCCAGTTTTGTCGTAATTAATTGCATGCACACAACTACTCGCCGCAGTTGCCGCTTTTATCTTCTTCACCTTCACCAAGCTGTTGCACCATTGAGAAATTATAGAACACTACAGTAGCATGGTCATTTCAAACGTTTGCAATTTAATTTCAATTATTTTGGTAGGCATGAAAATGTTTAGATTTGTCTTCACGTATTTACTAGTGACAAACCGTCCTATGGGCCGTTCCAAATCCAATCGACCACATCACAATTTGAGGCACAACCCCATGGACCCGATGTATATGTAACCGTAATATCCACCACCAACTTAAGAACCAAGCCTACTCTTCTTTGATCAAAATCACTTAGATTTTTTACTTATAGGTAATGTCGATAAAAGTAAGAATAATGCTACTCTTACCATATTTGTATACCACATTCTCATACCACCTTATGTGGCAGATGAGGTGGACAATACATCAATTAAAATTAATTTAAAGTTTTCTTAACTTTTATGATTTATTGACACTTTTTAATTGATGTGATTGTCCACTTCATCTGACACATAAGGTGGTATGAAAATGTGGGATATATAATGTGGTAAGTGTAGCATTACTCTAAAAGTAATGATAATTGCTATATTTACAGATTTCTGAAAAATAAACATAGAAATTAAATTCGAAACAAGAGAGAGAGGTGTAGGATCGCTTTCCAGGTTGTCTTGAGTGAGCTCAGAGTCTGAGCCATGCATGCCATGCCATGCCATGCTTTTAAACTCAAATAAACACGTTTTTTGCCAGCCACCGCAAAAACTGGTCCATGAGATTGTGGACCAAATTCTGATGTGGTCCGGCTTTGAATTGGCCGACGACGGCTGTTACGTGAAGACGGAATCTTACTTTTTCATGCTTCTTACCAAAATAAGATAAACAATCCATGCATGAAGACAAGCTGATTTATTTCCCTTCTATTTTGGTCCAGGCCTAATCACATTGACTGCCTATGTGAAAAATTAAAATGGAAGCATCTGTAAAGGATTATCGTCACCCAGTTGATTTAAAACCAACACGATTTAACTCAACCATCATGATGCAAATTTTCTACCATTCCTTCACATAAGCAGTACAAATACATAGAAAATAGAAATACTCTACTTTTTGAGTCATCATGATCCATTTAAACGTATCAATAAATGGATCATGATGACCCAACGATGAATGTACCATAACTGAACTCGCCATAACGATGAATTAATGTGTCATTATGTTGTAAGCTTTCGGAATGGTGGGACAGTTAAAAAAAAACAAAAAAACAAAAAAAT